TGGTCTCTTTTTTTGGAACATTTTTTTTATTTTAAACCAAAAATTCATGATTTATTTTTAATTTCTTTCCTGAAATTAAATTTTTGTTTTTCTCCTCCTAATTAAATCCAGGGACATGAAGTGGTATGATTATAGCGAGTCAATTGTTAAGCCTGCTGTTAATAAACTTGGTTCATTTTGTCTCGGTAGAAATCTTCGTAGTCAAAATCTAGCTTACATATTTATAAATGTACCATTTGTTCGTGATTGGAATATTACTACTATATCTGGTCTGGTGCTTCTGCCTTGTATTTAGAGATTCTTGACAAAATCCAATGTAGAATCGGCAATGTTATCGGTCGTAACCTGTTATTTCGGCTACGCTCTTTCGCTCACCGACGTAACAATACATCCTGTGCCTTTTCTGAATGTATTTGTAAAGTTATTGTTCTGATCCGATATTCTCACAGTTAAGCACTGTACTAGATTGGCAGCTAGACCTTTGTATTGTAGAGTTAAAATTGCAGATGTAACCATAAGTGATATGCTAACAGTTTTTTTTCTTACACTTCTTCCTGGTAGAACTCTCTTCCGGTTTCTTATTTTACAATCAACTTTGATCTTCGAAAGTGCAAGTGCGCTATCAATAGTCATTTCCTGTCTACTTAACTGTCTCTTCTTTCATTGTTCTGATAATAACGTTATATCTCAGATTCGTTCCAATTCAGTTCCCCTATCGACATCATGCTTTTATTGTCTTCATCGGGCTGAAATGTATAAAAAAACAACTTCATAGTACTTCAAAAGAGAAAACTGTAAGAACATTAGCAAAAAAACTTCATGAAGAAATTATACAATGGTCCCTGATTCTGTCATTCAATGGAACAGTTGTAAAAGTACCTGCGTTGCCCGTCTATACAATATTACAAATAAATTATAGATTTGCAGTCTAAGTAAAGGACATTTGTTGTGATGATCGCCTGATAAATATTGTGGAAATACATTTGAGTCAACAACATACAGACACAATTCCTAGCAGATTGGAATATGGGAGAAATAAGTCCGGAAAGAAACAGGGACAATTAACAATAACGGAAACACAGCAAGGAATAATAAGTCTAGAATTTTACAGATTTTCAAGAAGGAAAATGAAGACTAACAAGAAATCTAGGCGTTGTAAATGATTTATAGTAAACAGTAATTATTTTTTTTATTTTCGCTTAATTGTTGTAAAATATGAGGCGTGATCCTGTCGTGACACTTCGTATAAATTCTGATGTTAAATGAATGAAACAAAATGTGAAATATACGTAAAATGATTAATGAATTCATTATAATGTACTTTTGCTAAAATCAAGGATCGATTGTTAGAAAGCATAAACAAACTGCAATCACATGACAATTCATCAAACTTTCAGTCATTTCGAGAACGAAAAAAAAACCAAACGTATTTAATTATGTATAAATCTTTTTGGAAAGTATATATATATATTATATATATATATATATATATATATAGGAATCATATTTCCATTAATTTTATCTCATATATGTGTGTGCACAGTTAAATGCATATCTTATATGGACACACTCATACACACGTGTGTATATATATATATATATATATATATATATATAAATATATATATATATAGGCGGATAGATAGGTAGATAGATAGATAGATAGATTATTATTATTATTATTATTGATGCATGTTTCGTTAAATAATATAAGTAAGTTTTGTCTATTTATGGAAAGATAAATTCCTTTCATATTGTCGAATAAGATTTTTTAGCGTTACCACTAAAACACGAAAGAAAATCACCATGTTGATACATTTTTTATTATTAATAATGTCAAAACGTTATATTGGCTTTCATATGCCATCACAAGAGATTACAAGTACATAACAATAAATTAAATAATAAGTAAAATAAAATTAACATAATTTTTGTTTTAATATTGGTTATGCGTACATTGAAATGAATGATATTTTGTTTTGTTTTAAAATTGGAAGATTGCCATGCGACGATAAACTAGTGCATATGAAACGCAGGAAACAAATATCGCATTGCGGTTCATGACATCACACATGACCACGTAAGAGTGAAAATAAAGAAAACTGTTAAGTATGTAAATCCGTTGGTATAAACCAATAGCTTCTGTTATCAACTATAATAATTTAATTTTATTTGTGGAGTTTTCATAGTTTATTTTGTTCAGGTTAGGCTTCAACTGTTTTATGTAAATAGCTTCAAGAATTTTTAGTTTTTGTTTATTGTTTTCATGGTTAAGCATACTTGTATCTTCTACAAGGATTTCCGGAATTGTGTATGCGGCGAGCCATGTTGTTTTAAATGCCTAAATATATTGAAATCGTGAAACGAAGACCGATGAAATTAAAATGTAATTTAATTTTGGAGATTGCACACACACACACACACACCAATGTATATATGTATATATATATATATATATATATATATATATATATATATATATATATATATAAATAAGATAATACTCGTTTTGAAAAACCCTCGAATTTTTGATTTGCCAATAATCAAATCAATCTCGAGGGAAAAAAAGGTTTTAAAAAAAACAAAAGAGCTACAAAAATGAAAGCCTGTTGAAAAAAATCGCACAGATACAGGTTTAAAGCCCAAAGAAAAAACCCCGACACGACTAAACAACTAACTAACAAAAGAGCTCAATACAACCGTAGAGCAGACCTAGATAAACCCAGTGAGCCAGTCAAACCTACCCAGTTTTCACCTAAACGGATCGTCAGAGAAAGCCGGCAAGAGTTGGCAAGAGGGCAGAGCTGCATGTCACGGCAAGTCTCGTGGAAAGGGTTAAACAGAGATCGAGAAGGAAAGCCTTACAATCATGATTAATGTGGAAACGCGTAGGAAACTCAACCACTTGTGTGAGCGATTTGAGAGATTGAAAGGTTAAAAGTTTGTATGCCATGAAGGTCAGTTACAGAGTGTTTGAGCCATTTGCTATAGTGGGCATTGAAGTCATCTAACACAAATAGTTTTGCAGATAGATGTAGAGAGATAGCCTTGTCTATATAGTCTTGGGGTGGATGGAGAAAGATAGACAAAAAAATGAAATAGCTTATAGATTTCAGGAGAGATAGACGGAGACACATGTATGAATGGCCTAGACATTCAAGAGAGAGATCCCTAGCCAGTGGGATATGGTCTCAAATATAGACAAACAGCCAGGCCTTGAAATGTGGGTAATCAAAAGGTGCCCCCCAAAAAAAAAAAGGGAACCCAAAAACGGGTATTGCCAGACATGAGCAACTGGCAACACTGCGAGACAGTGACATTGAGCAAGTAAACATTTCGCCATTTAGAATTCAAGATGAAATTCACAGTATCGCTGAGATGTTGCAGCAGTCAATGAGAAATCTCAACAGCAGATTTCAAGAATGCATTCGTACAGGACGTAATTTTTAAAAAATGAAAATTCCATCATTGTTTCTTAAATGACATGTTTTAAGGTTACAATTACCATCACTCTTGGTTTTATTGGATTGTTAAAAAGGTCCCGTTTTTGGGGGGTCAGCCTGTAGGAGAGGAAGGTAACAGGGAATCGAGAAGTCAGAGGAGGGGCTTGATGGATTAAGGTTAGTCTCGCAGAGAGCTAGTATATCAGGAGACTTCTCAACGATGAACGCTTCGACAGTGCAGAAGTTGGTCCGAATGCCACGGATGTTAGAAAAGGAAATGTTAATGGGTTTAGGTGATTTATTTAAAAGCTGGTTTAGTTTACTTCTTTGATTGTTTGAAGTCATAATGGGTAATATTGGTAGTGAAAGTGAGAAAACCTAAATAATAGTAGCTGAATGCTCATTGTATGTGACATGGGCAGAAAGGAGCTGGCTTGAGGTTGCCCACCGGAGGTGCGTGCAGGGACACCCTTCTATACGCGACATGGCACGACAAGCAGCCTGATATTATGCAACTGTTCATCAAAGCAGACTCCCAAGACGCTACGCAAGAGTTAAAACTCCTAACTACCAGTCGGGAACAGCAAACAGGGAACAGGGAACTATGAAGAGACGTTGCCATAGACTGCACATATAACAAGGGATTCACGACAGGGATTCACGACAGCACTAATACAGAGGCCAGGAAAAGATCCGGGACCTCTTTCCTAAACAGGAAACAAGTGATGAGTCCCTATACTTGTTCAAGAGAAGGGGCAGGAATATTGACCGGTTGATATGTAGACCTATCTACTACTATTACACACACGCAAAAACAAATTGCATATATAAAGTTTCAACTTAGTTTGAGTGCCAACATACACTTTGGCGGGAGGGAAGAAAGACTTTACTATGTCTCCCCACTAAGATGAGTTGTGACAAAAGGACAGTTTTAAGTTGGGACCGGGGCGCGTACACTCGGGCTAGGAACATAAATTGCCCGCAGCCCCCGCAACCGTCGGTTGCGCTGGTCTCGGTGCAATGGGAGGGCGCGGCCTCGAGCAGCAGTTCCCCAGGGCTGGGCAGAGCTCAGTATAATTTTCTACAGCTGCGAACCTGTCCTTTCACGGAGTCGCCCCTGTATGCACTCTGCCCAAGAACAGAGACGAAGAAAGACCAAGCCATAACATGGCAGATACACGCAACGGAGTTAACTGTTCGATGCTAGCATGAATCATTTCGAAGAATTCATATTCAAACAAAGAATTCAAACAAAGAATTCAAAATAAGGATTGAAATCAATGAGAGTGGGGGGGGAACTAAAATTCGCATCGGCATCAAAGAACATTATTTTAAACTAAGACAATTCGTAACAGTAATCGAGAATAAATAAATATATAGAATGAACAGGAAGAGAAGAGAATAAAATTGAACGATTGCTTACAAAGAGAATCAAGCTAGCTGACAGGCAACAGAGAAGTTATAGCAAATGCTGTTTGGCCGAATGAAATGGTTATAGTCGTTTTTCTTTACATCATCTCCTGATGGCCATTTGCAAGCGTTCCTATTGTAACTCACCAGGATTAACAATGAGTGCAAAGCTAGCCTGACCATTATTCGAGAGGAAGGAGGAAATACTAAGCCACAACATGGCCGATACACGCGGTTGTGTTAACTGTCCGATGCGAGCATGATTATTTCGAGCTATTCCTATTCAAACAAAGAAAATAATTTATGATTACCCGCTGATGTAAGAAAAAATAACCGAATTTTGAAGGTTTTAAAATAGATTTAAAATATAATTTAATTTAAAAAATCTATTGGTCTTTCCTTTTAACACTAACAAAGAATTTGATGATATAACTCTTTTTAATAAGCTTGGAGCATTTTTCATTATGCACGTCTATCTTTTAGCAAATCTTTGAAGATACACACACACACACACACACACACACACACACACACACACACAGAGTTCTTGAGAAAAGAGATTTCTTTTATTTTTTATTTTAAAACTTTTATTGGTCATGCATATGAGCTAGAGAAAGAGGTACTTGCTTTAATAAAGATCTTTGAAAAAACACAGGGTGTAAGTTAATATATGTGTCATGATTCGATATTTCACTGTCAAAATATTACGCATACGTAAGTTATGTTATATTTTCATAAGTGGAGTATTTTTAAGAACCAAGTTGTGGTGGAAATTGTTTATAAATTGTTAGGTAGTTGTTATTTCTCATATTCATAAATAGTTTTATTCTTAATTTAAAAATTTATAAAATAAGTATAAAAACTAATATATTGATGTGTATATATATATATATATATATATATATATATATATATATATAATATATTTATTTGAAAAAAAATATAGAAAAGGTGTGCTACATTAATGGGATAAGCTGCTCAATATCAGAGATAGAGCGTATGTAGATATAAATATAAAAGTGAATATTGAAGTCAACACTCAGAGGCGACAGGCTGTTTCATGCTAGGCGTTTTTTAATGTTTTATTAACGTAGTGAAAAATTGGTGGGGGATTTGCTTAGGTCGCTTATTTAATAGTTTGTTTGGGTCTGGGAAGATAATTAAAGCTATTTATTTGTCTAATGTTTAGATTGCTTGCCGTAGTCTATTCTGTTATTTTGGCGGGTAGACAGTTTGGCCTGACGATTGTGTCCAGCATGAAACAGCCTGTCACCTCTGAGTGCTGACATCAATGTAGATATTCTTCGCTTCATATCAGGAGATAATTGTCCGGTTCATAATGCTCAAATATTGCTATTTTGCTAGCGTCTGTAAATGCATTACACAAGAGGGTATAGAAGGATAGTTAATATTGTTACAAGCTACAAACGATCATATTTTATGGATAGCTATGATCGCTCATTCCTGAAGAGAATTAGCTCATAAAAAAAGATGTACTGTAGTCTGCTGACACCGTGTACTTAGCATAGTTTGGATGTTAAGTTAAGCTTAATCTCCATTTAGTTGTTCGAATAATCTTGTTTTAAAGTACTCAAAACTACTTGTTGGCAAATTGTTTCTCTGTCTTCCTCCCCACTACTTTCCTGACTCAATGAAGATGTCTATAATGAGGTATGGTGCAATTGTAGCTCAGCTGTCGTGGCAGACAGATGCCGGGGAACTATCCATTTTCGCAAATCTGAAGGGATTAACGCAGGGTTAAGACAGATTTTTTAGTTTCTTTTCATTCTCCTAGGGATAATCGTCTGTTTATTACTTCTCAATTATTCCTCTCTTTCAGAGTATTGCCGTAACAACGCTAATCAATGTTTCAGTCATCACAGTTAGTCTTTCTTTTGGGGTATTTTAGTCTTTCTTTTGGGGTATTTTAGTATTTTACAGTGAGATATTTTGAGGTTATAGCAGCATAATGCAGTCATGTCAATTATGATAAAATCTATGCGCACAAATCTCCAAGTATAATTTCACAAGGTAAAATATATATATATTCATCAAATAAGGACAAGGTATGTCTGTATTTTTGTAGACATTCCTCTATTGACTACAAAGTTAATTGCAGACAGTTCCATGCACTAATAAAATAAGTGCTACGAAAGTGAAATTATTCTCGTGGTAAATTAATGGTAGAAATACAGATGTTGTCAACATTTTGGGTTGTTGTGTTGAACCAGAAAAATCGATTAAACTACACACTTGTTTGTGATCAGGCAAAATGTCATTTTTATGAACTGAAGTTGAGATAGGTTGGCGGTGAAATATTTGCAGGTAATTAGGGCTGATTTTCAAGCAATGATGAACGCATCAAGTGATGTAGTGTTATTGTAACTTGCAATTAAACACGGGTACATGCTGAAGTTAACGCATTTTGCTTTGGAATTCCAAGTCATGATACAAATTTATGAAATCCTGAGAATGTTATACCCAATATAGTGTATATAACCTTATATCAACACTTAATGCTTTCTAGCGCTTTTACTTATATTAAAAAATTTTCATTGAAATTTAAAGCTTCCATGGATAAAGTACTAATCCTATGTTGCCGTAATATTTAAGATTGATTTGATTTTACGGATTATCAACTTTTGTAGGTTATCTAAATCCGAAATTGATTTTAAGATTGTAAGAATAATTAATTGTAGTAGTGTGAATAGGGGATTAACTATTTTTGGAAAATAATAATGATTTAAAGACACTAGACCTACACTTTAACCCATAGCTGTTGGAAGAAGAGATGGATTCATATTTTCTCATGGGCGTAACTGAATGAAACCAACCTACTGGAATTCGAAATCTGCTTCCTTAATTCGCATTCTATGCCTTTATCTATTAAGCCACCCAAATAGCTAAGGTAATCCCATGCGGTCACTGACCAGGCGTTTAACTTGGGTAATCGAACGAGAACCGGTTTTTCAGTGTGTTACGGACCTAAGCCAATGTTTTTTAAATTCTCCGATATAAACCGATGTTGGTTTTACACTCGGAATCCGCTCGCTTTATGAATTGACAGAAATAATTAAAAAGGCTCGCCTTTTGAAAATTGAACATGAAGGCTTGGATCTCACAGAAATATATAACTATATATCTGAAAAGAATGCATCAATGAAACTAGAGTCTAGACAAAAACGCTCTTTACAAAATAAGTCAAGGAAACCTGATCTAGAAACTGATTTCTTACAAAGAAATAGATATTCTATACATACGTACCTATCCTAAAAATCTCATTGGCATTAAAACATTAAACCGATTCTTACAAACAAAATATTTTAAGATGTTGGATATCTCTTGAAAGCTTTGCCTCGTCAAGGTAACATATAAACAAAATCGCCGGTGGCAATTCCTGCTTTGCTGATAATAGCTGAGACTTCTTCAACGGGTCCATATTGGGCGAAAAAGGCCCCCGCCCTATCTTCTGTAATGTCGACGGGGACTCCATGAACCGTTATTTTCGTTCGTCTAGCCCCCATATATTCAGTCTGTAAACGGACTGAATTCATTGTCAAGGTGCTTGCAGCCAACCTTTTAGCTTCTTCTGTTGCCAGAAGAATGTTCTGTAATGCGTTGGATCTTCTTGAAAACTTTGATTGTCAAGGTAGCATACAAAACGAAATCGCCGGTGGCAATTCCCGCTTTGCTTTGCTTATTATAGCAGAATCTTCAACGGGTCCAAATTGGGCGAAAAAAGGTACCCAGCCTATACTCACTAATGTCGACGATGACTCCATGTACTGTAATTTTCGTCCGTCTAGTTCCCTTATACTCCGTTTGCAAACGGACTGTGTTTGTGGTCAGCGTGCTTCCTGCAAACCTTCTAAGAATATTCCATAATGCATTGGACCTTCTTGCTAAAAGTTTTGTTCCTATCTGCAGACTTTTCAGGACCTCTTCCATTGTTTCCCTGCTGACGCCGATAAGCTTCCGCGTTCCTACATCGGTAGTCAGCAGGGAGATGGTTCGAGTTTTAACAGCATCGATTGCCTCCGGATCTTTGGCATTAATATATTTATCATTCTTGTTCCTCAGACCGTTGTAATATTCTGAGTCTTTTTTGGTTCTCTTTTTAGCCCAGGCCGTTTTTTTTTTCGGTGATGCTAAATTTGCTTCTTGCCCCGGCCATGACGGCGAGGCCAAAATAAATAAACGTTTGCCTCTCTTTTTTTTTATTTTAACTTAACTGAATAGAATCTTGCGACTTAGAAGTCAGGGTAAGGTAATAACTCAAAATTTCAAATTTGACAAAACAAAATAAACGTCAAAAAAACGAAAGATATGTCCAAAATAAATTTAAAATTTCAAACTTGGCAAAACCAAATAAACATCGAAAAAGAAAGAAATGTACAAAATAAAATTGAATGTTCACACAAACGAAAAATAAACGCGAATATGTTAAAAGAAAAAGGAAAAATCAAAGTAAAGAACCTGAAAGTCAAAAATTTCAAAACTTACACAAAATAACAGAAAGAAAAAACGAAAATAAAAGGCTTAAATTAACGATAATCAAAAGTTCTTTCAAATTCTCGCCCGGAAAAACTTAGCCGGACAAACGTAAACCTCGACTTCGTCAGACTTCAATAAATGAAAATGACTCGTAGACAAACGAGCCGGACTAAAATTAACCACACATTTCTTGCTATTTATTAAATGCTCAGCAATAGCAGAGCCAGAAGTATTGGTTCGTTGGCTCTTCATGGCAGCTGGATTCAAAATCCTGGGGTAGGAGTAAGTTTTGTTTTATTCTCAAATCCAAACGCTGAGACGTCCTTCTCATGTAGTCAAGTCCAGAACTACACTTATATTGATAAATCACTGAATTAACATGATTAGTGGGGGACGTCCTTGCGAATGGAATAGAAAACAGGACGGGTAACAAATATTACGCCGGAAAATAACAGCTATTGATCAAACGTGAAATTCGTCTAGATAAAATCTTACCATCTGTACCAATATAGGGAAGACGCAGATAAACTGGGCATTTATCAACAAAATGCGGCTTAACCCTATGAAATTTACTAATGACATCATGGGTAATGGAGTCTAAAACATCGAAAGGATATCCGTTTTTTGAAAGTGCCATTTTAACAAACTCAATTTCACCGCAGAGAAGGCCATCAGAACATATCTTAAGTGCTCTATGAGGCCTTAATCAAATTAATCTTTCGTTGT